GGTGAATGTTTACTTTGCTGTATTCATTCCATCTGATAGACTGCCTTGAGTCCCTTTCAAGCTGCTTTTTTGTTTAAATTGTGCTCATGATCTTTGATGGCTGAAATTGTTTTACTGCAAAAAAATTGGATGTGATGTTGAAAAGAAAGTACTTTTTCCAAACTCATACAATACAGTGACACCTGTTTGTTCCAGGTTTTTTGTATAAAAACAGTATTTGTCTCTGAAGACACTTACCTGCATAAAGGCAACATTTCAAATGAAGTATACTTTTTTCGGTAGTTTCTGAAATTGACAATTCAACACGACAAAGTCTTTGGTCACTAGTACTCAAATACGTTATGTCCTGACCTCGTGTGTTTAGCCTTCAGTGATACGATGCTGCCTTATTTGGAGGTCAGATCCAACCACTTTATATTCTCGAGGAGGGGGTGACCTGATCCCACTATTTTCATGCAGGAAAATTGTTATTTGTGGTATAGATTTTCACGCCAGTGGATGATGTTCTGAGACGAAAAACCCTGCTTTCTGCTCTTTTGTCCCTTCATGTAATGGTCGCGCCTTTGGTTGGGGGATAAAGGCGGAGGGGATTAGACCGGCAGAGCAGCAGTCTGTTCTCAGCTTTCAGATGGTATGGAATGGGTGAGACTGGGTGTGTGTTATGTTAATATGTTTCAACTGTGATTCTTAATTGACGCCAATATATTTACCACATCAAAACGGGATTGCAACAATAAAATAAGCAACTACTCCATGCTGTGTCTGTCTTGTCTGTCTCGAATATCACATGGTGCCATACTTGTTCTTGGTTCCTCGGATTTGATTGGCAGGGGCGGATCCAGAGGCTGTTTCCTCCTCTCCCCCGAAAACATTTTCCCTGAGGATCATTTCCCCCTAACCTTTGTACTTCATGATCTATGTGCACCCCGGCCCCCCTTCTCCAAAATCCTGGATCCGCCCCAGAGAGGTATTGTAGTATCGGTGATAAAACAAGAGTCACAAACAGTGTGATGCCTTCAGCTTTCGGCAAGAGTCAAGCAAGGTCTAACACCATTGTGACAGAGGTATAAGCATTGTGACGTCATAACTGTAAACCATTATGATGTCATACGTCCAGCGGTATTACTATAAGGGTAATGCTCACTCTCCTACCCAGAGTTCCATGCGGCAAGCCAGCATAGTACCTCTGCCACAGGCCAGAAAAAATGTGACGATTCGTCACACCTTGCACCGTCCATTCAATATAATGTACAGATTTCTTTTACTCTTTTATTTTTGACGAGTCGACACATCTAACTAAACATCTTTAATAGAATGGTTTAGTTTCACTGAGAAAATATCCAAAAAAATGTAACACTATTTCGATTTGCGTAGCGATCCTTTGTTTACATAGGTTGTACGGCTCCACGTGCTGTCATCGAAGCCGACGGAGCGCAAACGATGCAGCCAGTTTGATATCTAAATATGTACTGTCATAGACCTAACTGTCGCAGTTGTGGAAGAATATATATGTAACAATGTAAAACATTGTGAAGAGAGCGCCGAAAAGCTCTCGTGAGTCCAGTCTCTTCTTATTATGAATATGCGCGTTTGATTACAAACAAGAGAAAAGTCCGGTCACGTGATATGCAAATTAGCCTGTGGCAGTGATGTTATGTTAAGTCATCGCTGTGCCGGAGTGTGGGTAATGCTATTTTTGAGGGCATTATCATTTGAAGAAGCCCGCGGTCTTCCATTAACTGCCCGACGAAGGAGGTTCAGTTGAAAAAGACCGAGGGCTTCTGCAAATATAATGCCCTCAAAAAATAGCATTACCGTTATTATTGCTAAAATACATGGAATTTGTGTTGAAAAGAAATAGGAAACAATGAAGGAATTTGACTGTAAGTTTACTCAAAACCAACTTCTGACGGGGTTGACTGCCCGAATGCAATTACGTCATCGAACAATTCAAGTGACGTCACAACAGAAAGTGACGATATTCGACCTTGGCCTTTAACAAGACCATAGTCTGCAACATGTCAAACTATGTCAGTGTTCGGTTTTGGTCCAACAACAACGTTAATAGTGCAATTGTTAAGGTTACCACCAGCAAGGAAGCCAATATTACCGCTATTTAAAGCGGGAATTCGGGTTGCTTTGACTTGTTTGTCCCAGAATAGCTGCCAGTTCAAAGCCAAAGTCGAATGAACCGACGCACCCACTATGATGTCACTTGACAACAGAACTGATAGTGGCCCGTCGTTCGGGTTGATCGGTCCAATATCATTTGCAGCGACCCTCAAATTGCTGATAATAGGAGGGCCGTTTCATGATAATTCCATGTGTTTTAGCTATAAACTAGTGTAATATTGCTGTAAAAATATTACACTGCAGTATCTTCCACGGGCGAGTAATAAAGTTCAGTATAACCGTACTTCGTTATACGCATTTCGAGTGCAACATACATCAAGAGCCGGGGCGTCCGCCTCCGTGGTGTAGTGGTTAGAGCGTCGTGGTGTAGTGGTTAGAGCGTCCGCCCGGAGAGCGGAAGGTCGCGGGTCTCTGTCTGGCGCTCGGCATTAATGGGTACAACAAGGACTGGTCGGCTCGGAGTCAGTATAATGTGTCTGAGTGGGGTATTCATGCTTCACTGCGGCATGGTATCTCAGTGAGCTAGCACTATAAAACCAGCTTCAGTCTGGGCTAGTACAAGCAGCCGCACATACACATACACACGCATGCACGTCGTCATATGAGCGAAATATTCTAGAGTACGACGTAAAACCCAATTTCACCTCACCTCACCTCAAGAGCCGGGATAAAAAACAGTTAGTTGTGTCCGTCAGTTCGATATAAACGGAGTTTACTGTACTTGTTCCATAAAAGGCGTAACCAGGCATTTATGAAACAGTTTATTCACTTCAACAATTACAATGGTGATCTTTATCAGAAGTTTATCACAGGTCAGCGGTTCCAATAGTAGCATATGGCAATAACAATATCGGCGTCAACACGCACTTAGTCGGAGAGCAACAGCCACACGGGCCTTGTCTTCAACCATGAAAACTTAATTTACTTCCTTGCACAGTGCAAATCAAACAGACCAGGGCCAAAATCGAACAGCCGATTCGGTTAAAACAATGAAAAAGAAATATCTCAAAAGTAACAAACGACTCTCTATTTCCAAACTGACATGTCACTGGTCCATTTTGATTTCTAAAATCGGTCCGTTTTTATCTGAATAACGCATTGCTTGGACCAAATCAGTCTGTTCTAGTTTGGCGTTCTGACAGGTATCCACTCTGATAGCAAATTCCAAAGTGTATAATATTGGTAAAATATCAGGTATTCAAGTCATCTTCCTCAGATACCTGTTTATTAGTATTCTCTCCACTGTTCATCCATGAAAGCTTTCGGTGAAAAGATTACCCTTCGACATTCACATGTTTCCCTAACAATTCCGGGAATAACAAAGTGTGTTACTGTCTTCAAAATTCGTCTGTAACTGATGTCATACAATACATTCCAGTTATTATAACCAGTCATAACCTAAACCAGAATGACTTTTACTGAAAAGGGGACTAACAACTGGAACGACACCACCCCTTATAGAATCAAACCATCGAAACTGGAATGTATGAACTTAAACCGGATTCAGTTACGCCAAACCGGTGTGACTGCACTACGGAATGACAGATCGGAATATTTACAGGTGTGATACATGTATTTACAAATAAAACGGTTGAAATTATGTCACAAAATATTTTTTTTCTATTTATTTAGCATAAATGTTAGACAGCAGATCACAATCTGTATTGTAAACCACAATTCCAAAGTTATTTACAAATGTAGAAGGTGAGAATTTCGGTAAAAAATATCTTCTTTGTGTAAATGCATATTTTGTAACATATTTGTAAAGTCAGTAGATCACAGAATTAAGAATTTATTATAAACCAAAATTCAAAATACGAAATGTGTGAATTTTGTCACAAAAGCTATTTTTCGGGTAAGTGTATATTTGGCAACATGCATAGGTAAAGTAAGTAGATTACAAATTAATTTTTTTTTTAGTAGGCTAATCTAAAATTCAGTGGTTCATTCCAATTAAATAAAGGTGCTACTTATTATGTTCCGGATTTATTTTTCTTCGGGTATAGGTATATTTTGGAACACATATGTGACCTCACAGATTTGTGGCCATTACAATGAATGTAATGGGTGAGATGGTTTATAATGCCACTTTTACTTTTTATTATATTTATGGTACTGACAAGCCAAGAAGTATATTGAGTTAATCAGGTATTCGAACCCATACTGGAACCTGTCGGATTAGGCGCAGACCCAGCAGTCTTTCCCTCAAACAATGTTAAAATATCATGTTGCCCTACCTGACTCTCGGCTTTTATAGGATAAGAGTAGACCAGGGCCCACTTGCACAAAGCGTTCTTACGATGATCGTAACTCCCATACTGCAACAGAGACTTAACACAGCCGTAGCGCTACGATCGCTTTGTGCAAGCGGGCACATGGCCCCGTTCCACAAACCGATCGTAGAGCTAATTAACGACGTACGACAGGCGTAGAGCTAAGGTAATCGTAACTCACATACTTAACGTTGACGTACGACAGGCGTAGAGCTAAGGTGATCGTAACTCCCATACTTGACACTGACGTACGACTGCCGTAGAGCTAAGGTGACCGTAACTCCCATACTTAACACTGACGTACGACAGCCGAAGATCTAAGGTGACCGTAACTCCCATACTTGACACTGACGTACGACTGCCGTAGAGCTAAGGTGACCGTAACTCCCATACTTAACACTGACGTACGACAGCCGAAGATCTAAGGTGACCGTAACTCCCATACTTGACACTGACGTACGACTGCCGTAGAGCTAAGGTGACCGTAACTCCCATACTTAACACTGACGTACGACAGCCGTAGAGCTAAGGTGACCGTAACTCCCATACTTAGCGTGACTTACGTCAATCGTAGCGCTAAGGTGACCGTAATGGATGGCGACAAGCACTGGTGTTCAGCATGGTCAAGATATGCAGCATGGGTGATAAAGCCGGGTGTATCATATTACCCGAGTTTGATGTTATCACTACATTTGGCCTATGAGTATAAACCCTTGTTTTCTGTAAACAACGAGAAGGTAATTTTTCAGCAGTATCTACTATGACGAATTGTCCAGAAAGTCAAATGGTCATCTTCACGGATACACAGCAATGGTAAATATCCCACAGTTTATGTCATGTACTTGGGGTTTGTTAAAAGTCATAAAAATACCATGGACGGAATAAGGAGCGGGGTTTAAATAGATCCCGCCCCTGTACAATGCATAACGTCATTCCCAGCCAACGCGACTGTTCATTGCAGCCTGGATAGTGGGACATTGGATCATCAACTAGGGCTGGCTAAATTATCGATTATCGGAAATATCGTCGATAGGAAAAAATATTTAAAACGATTATCGATATGAAAATTGTGTCATCGACAATATCGTACAATAACTTATCTGATAGAAAAAAAGTTTCAGTTTTCTCACACAATATATAGATTTAAGCCTTCATTCGTGGTCTGCTTCTAAACTATACTCAGGAAACTGTTTTGTTAATAAACAAACAAGTCATCACTCACCAGTGGTGTGAAATATATTCATTTCTTTCTGACATTTTTTGGTATTTTTGCTCAACGTTACGTCTCCGATATTTATCGATAATCGATCGATATTAAGTTAACGATTATCGATCTCGCTGAAATATATTTTGATGGCCAGCCCTGTCATCAATCATCATCAAATACAACCGATTAAAATCGAGATCACTGGTCCCATCGGACGGATGAAGGAGGGGGACTAAATGGGGAGGTCCCATTATTGGAGGTGCGGGACAGGTTACGGAGAGAATGGTGATGAGTTATCACAGCGAGCAATATTCCAATTAAACAAATGACTTCAAGCTAGCAGAGCCAGGATACAAGATACAAACACAATATAAAAAGATATACAAAAAAGTAAACAACAAAATATATAGAATTTTACGCAAAAACAATGCATGATTCATACTATTCCAATCCATGGACGGACTTATGAAGTTGTTAATATATATTTTCCAGCAGTAACCGCTATTTCACAATGCATAAAAAACGATAGAACGCCAAATCTTGTAAACATGACACGTAGCCTGAACCTGATCAAGGACAGACCATTCGATATTAATCTTGGGAGTTTTAGTCGGATATTTCTGAACCACTGCTGCAAAACCAGAGGGTTTTGTAAATTGAGATTATGTGTCTAGATATGCTGTTAAAATGAACGTGTAGCAACATTGTTTAATTGTGACCGAAAACCTATTTTTCAACAGTCTGAAACATAATGCTATCTTATAAATCGTCTATTTGGATGGTTCAATGTTTTCGTTACTCCGACAAACACCCAGAACATCAAATGATCTGCCAAAAAGACATCTAGGTTTTCTTCAGGCTGTGCCCCAAGTGTCACCCCCGTGTTGTAAAATAACGCATCATTGGTATACATGGGTAAACTAGAAATTAAAGTAGTCAGGTCAACACACTCAATTATTAAAGCAGTTGATATATGAAAACACGATAAATGAAATCATTAAAAAGCAATCGTATCAAACGATATTTCAAACTGTGCCAAAAACGGCGAATATGCATAGACATGCGCGGTTGCACAAAGCGATTTTAAGAGTAAGGTGATTCTAACTCCCAAACCTCAACCTTGACCACAACAGTTGCAGCTGAGGTTATGTTGTACAACAGCAACCTTGTGTATGTACAGTTGGTGTAAGTTTAAAGAGAAAGCTGCAAGGGCAACTGTCACAAGGCTACATCTGGAAATATACTGAGAGAAACAAATAAAGGAACAGATGAAAATTCAAGTGCTAATTTAATATTTTCCAGTTTTCATCACCAGCTTTGAGTGGCGCTGTGGGAGAAAATCTGAGAATAAATACAGGAACACTGCCATGAAGTGGTGTTCCCTTATTTGTTTCCTTCAGTATATTATCAAGACATACGCAATCAAAATTTTTGGCTCTTTTGATTTTGGTTCACAGATGGAGCAATTCGGCCATGATTTGAAAACACCGATATCACAGTGTTGAATGCCTGTATTCACAGGTACGTGTGATTTAAAACCACTTTAAAAAGTGTTTCAGTATTTCGGGGTATGTCAAGTTAATGTGAGAGGAAGGCCCGAAGTGATGAGGGTCTTAGGACTGTCTGTGTGTATAAAACCCATGGGTTGGTGCATACAAACCTAAACATAATCCCGTCGAACCGGGATTCGAACCTGGTCATATCTTTATGGTACGTGTAATGGATGCACATCTACCATATATATCTCAATTAAGGAACAATACCTATATACTTTTGCAAATCAGTTGTTTATCACAAGAACTGTATCTGTCATCGTATCCCAATTGTGTAGATCGATGTTCATGTTGTTGATCACTTGATTGTCTGGTGCAGACTCGATTATTTACAGACCGCCGCCATATAGCTGGAATATTGCTGAGTGCGGCGTAAAACTAAACTCACTCACTCCTATCTAGGTCCCCGTGTGGACATTACGTCATGGGGTAATGCCCCCAGAGACGTCTCTTAATGATAGCAGTATCCAGTTGTGTCCAGATTTAACAGAAATGTCAAACGTGAGATCGTAGAGAAGGGCGTGTATTTATTGTAGACCATACACTTCTTGATTTAGCTGGTTTGTTGTTTTACGCCGCACTCAGCAATATTCCAGTTATATGGCGGCGGTCTGTAAATAACTGAGTCTGACAACAATCCAGTGATCAACAGCATGAGCATCGATCTGCTCAATTGACCTAGATAGGAACTAGACTGACACATGTTATGGAGTACTAGTTCTAATTATTCAGACCTTAGACATTATCCTTGCATTTAGATTCAACCCGTTTCTTCTTTATCACAGAACTACAAAAACAAGATTCAACAAAAGTGTCAATGATTTGTCATCTATCAGTATTTCTAATGCTGTTCTTGCGCCTGCTGGGCCTCCAATCGCCTGCGGCGACTCCTGCGGGCCTGCAGCTTTTCCTGCAAGCCTTGTTCCATCCGGGCTTTGTTCGTCTGTTGAGCCTTAGTGAACTCATTCATCTCCTGCTCGTGCTGTTTCTTCAGCTCTGTGATGTTACCTGGGCAACAGATGCAAGAGTTAAGTCACGTACAGTCAACATAAAATGAATGAGTATGATTTTATGCCGTTTTAGCAATATTTTTGGCTATATCATAGCGGGGGACACCAAAAATGGCTTCACATTGTAACAGTGAAGGGTAGGGAACCGATGCCAGCATCTTTGAGTGTATTTATAAAAGTGTTGGCATCTACACTTAAATGTCACATCTCTTGCAACAAGAAGCTGCCAATCCATACCACCTGTTCCTCTTCACAACGCATTGTTCCATGATTTTGCTTTCGGGAAATACCGATAGTACATTTTGAGAAACAGAAATCAGGTTTGTCTGGTCGCCTCTCTAACTGGCACTGACGATTTCGAAGTTTCGATTTTGATTGACTGGTTATAAAGTTTCGCTGACAGGATCTCATTCAGAGTTACTCAGAACTTCACGGGCATGGGTTGCTTAATGGCTAAAGCTTTTGCTCCGCACCACACACCTAGGGTCCCCTAGAAGGTGCAAAGTGGGAACCCTCTTTCTGGTGTCACAAGCGTGACATTAATGGAATCTTGCCAAAAAGGGCATAATATACTCTCTCACTCGATGAGACCTTAGAGGTATTTTATGGGAGGGAAAGATTTAATGAGACTGATAACAGCCCCTATACTAATTATTCTGTTGATATAGAAGCAGATTTGAGTTGGCAGAAATTCTGCCATCTGGAAGTTTTAATTGCAAACATCGTTTCACCCGAGGGAGAAGTACTTACCGAACAGCTCGTCTTCAGATGGAAGAGGGGCGAGTTCATTCAGTGGCAGAGGGGTGGGAGGTGGAGCCTGGTCAGACGCAACACCAAGGTTATCCTGAAACACGAGCTACAGCTGGTACAGAAGACCTGGTGATGATTTGACACATCTGGAGAAGCACTGGAGGATGTGTGATCCTCTAGTACCCGAGAATACATACGGTCGCTGAGAAAGGCAATCGTTATAGTTGTCTCTAGATATAATGTACTGAGATATAGAACCACCCTGACTTCAATGTTCAATCTACACAAGACATGTGAAACACGTTTCTTCCAATCGAGACATGTGAGATAAATCTACATGTGTTCAGGTAGAGCATCACCCTTTTCTATATGCAGACAGAAACCCCATTCCCCTTAGATTAGATCTACCTGTGCGTGATATAGGACAACTTTATCCATATGTGCCTAGTAGGCAGCAAGAGTTGTATGGTCCCCAGGGAGTTGAGATTGCAAAATACGATGTGCCGTTGTGATGGACATCCAATGATCGAGGGAAAACAAAGCGCCTTTGAGCAGTTGTACTGGATATCGGCGCTATACAAATGTATGTATGTATGTGTGTGTGTGTGTGTGTGTGTGCGTGCGTGCGTGCGTGCGTGCGTGTGTATGTATGTATCTGCCCAGATAAAGATATGCTTGTCCTATCAGAAATAACCTACACGTGCCCAAAATATGACTCCCCTGTTGTCCAAGTAATTCTACTTGTTAGATAAGCCCTGTCCAAGATACAATTTACATATTCCCGGATAGAAGACCATCTGTCCTCGAAGATACTATCTGCATGTGTTCAGATATAAGACTAGACTGTCCTCCAAATACAATCTATGTGTTCCTATAGCTAGATATAGCACCACCCTGTCATCCAAGATACAGTCTACATGTGCTCGGATATAGGACCAACCCGTCCTCCAGGATATAATCTACCAGTACCCGAGTATAAGACCACCCTGTTGTCTAGTGTCCCCGTGTCCTCACATTGACCACCCTGTCACCCTGCTATATGTGTTCCTAGGTAAAGGTCCACCCTACTATGCAAGATACAGACTACAAGTACCCGGGTATAAGACCACCCTGTTGTCTAGTGTCCCCACCTTGACCACCCTGTCCCCTGCTATATGTGTTCCTAGGTATAGGTCCACCCTACTATCCAAGATACGGACTACAAGTACCCGAGTATAAGACCACCCTGTTGTCTAGTGTCCCCGTGTCCTCACCTTGACCACCCTGTCCCCTGCTATATGTGTTCCTAGGTATAGGTCCACCCTATTATCCAAGATACAGACTACAAGTGCCCGGGTATAAGACTACCTTGCCATCCTGGTCTACGTGTTCCTGGACATAGGTCCACCCTACTATCCACGATACAGGCTACATGTGCTTGGATATAGGACCACCCCGTCCTCCAGGATATGATCAAGTGAAAACATTGATTACACAGCAGTCTCGTTTCCTGCTGACTGGGTTCCGTCCTATTGCGAAACTTAGTACAATAACCATTCCAGAATTTTGAGACCAACTCATTCAAATGGATATATAAATATTAATCAGTATTATTTGATACATCTAATCACTTGTATATTGCAACACTACGCTCTTTCTCTAATCCTTGCAAACACGTCGTGCAGCGTGCCCTGTCGTACAGCGTGTTCTGACAAACGGAAATATTGAAATCGTGGAGATCTCAAAACGAGGCTCGTCCTTTGGAAAAGTTTGGTGGTCTGGTACGGACTTGATATTTTATCAATCACATTGTACGTTAGAAAAATCCATTTAATAAGCGCAAAGAACACCTAACAGGTGTAAACAGTGAGCCAGACGAATTGTGAATCATTGTACGACCTCATCAAACAGGGGCAGTCTGATACGTCTTAGTTAAAGGTCATGCTACCTACACCTCGCAATAAAATATAGAAATACGATTGTTTTAAACTTTAAAATTAAAATCAATTTGTAAATATCATTTTCTTATGAAACAAGGAAGTGGAATTCAGTGTAACCATAGTTGTTTGTAGTGTCTCTTTTCACTTTCACATGAGAAAATTCGAATCGGCTGAAAAGTAGGTCATTGTCTGAATTGGTTAATAAGACTTATGTTTCGGTTTGTACAAATAGGTCCGGGTATAAGACAACCCAGTCACCCTGGTCTATGTGTTTCTAGATATAGGTCCGGGTATAAGACCACCCTGTCACCCTGGTCTATGTGTTCCTAGATATAGGTCCGGGTATAAGACCACCAGTTTGTCTAGCGGCCTGGGGTCCTCACCTTGTCCCCGCCGACCACTTCATCAGGCTGACTGACGGCTGTCTGTAGCTCTGGCTCGGGGCCGTCCTCCAGACTCTGCAGATCTGTGGGAGAAACGTGTACTGAATAGACTGTACCAGGGTCAGGACGCGACATCAGATGGTGTTTCACAAATACATACAACTTCATACAACTTCAGCATGGGAACAACACCCTAACAAACGTATTCATTCCGACCCATGCGAAGCGGCACTCACACCCCTAGTACAGTCAAACAGCACTCCGTTATGTGGGAAAGCTTTCCAACAGACGTATTGGAACAATCAAACAGCTCTCGGTCAAATACAGCCGTATGTGAAACATGAAAAAAACATTCAGTCAAACAGACGCATGGGAATAATCAAACAGCACTGATGAATTGAGAACGTATGTGAAACAACATCCAATTACCCACAGACGCATGTAAAACAGCACTCAATCAAACAGGGACACGGGTTAGACAGTACTCAGTCAAACACAGACATGTAAAACATCTCACAAACAAACACAGACATGTAAAACATCTCACAAACAAACAGGGACACGTGTTGACAGCACTCAGTCAAACACAAACACATGCATATGAAAGACAGCAAATGATAAAACGTAGACATTGACAATTTAGGGACCGTTCATAATTTATGGCTTGGGGAGGGTAGATGATGATTTTTTATGGAGTAGAATGTACAATGTGAATGATCATCTAAATTTATGTACAAAGTAAGTGACCTCCCCTGCATGTCACGTACAAAATCAAGCCCCCCTAACTTTTTAATATTTTTACGTACAATAATGATGACCCCCCCCCCCCACACAACAGTACTTGTGTACAAAGCTAATGACCCCCAACCTCCCAAGAACAAAAATAGGTCCCACCTTAAAATCTCTCTCTCTCTCTCTCTCTCTCTCTCTCTCTCTCTCTCTCTCTTCTGTACTCTCTCTCTCTCTCTCTCTCTCTCTCTCTCTCTCTCTCTCTCTCTCTCTCTCTCTCCCAAGTCCCCAGTGAAATAAATTACGACCCTTGGACCCCCCTGCACCCGGTGTTTTATTTGATGTGCCCCCACCCCCAATACAAACCAATACCAATTTGTCCAACAACGACCTTAAAAAAACAAATCCAACTCCCCACCCCCGTAGTTCAGCTCCCTCTACTGTTTCTGGCAAATTTCAAAATTCAAAATTCATGCAAACTTAATTACGCAACCCTAACGTCCCCTTCAGGTTGCCATATCTATCGGTCAAACCCTAAATGGCTGGCGGGCCCGTAGGCTCATGTTAAATCTCCAAATCATCATTATCATCATCATCGTCATCATCATCATCTCAACCAACACACACACATGCATGTTAAACAGCACTCAGTCAAACATCATCCTGTGTACCTACCAATCTCTATGCCTGCAGCAGAGAAATAAGACCCAAACTAACATATAATTTCAGTAACTCGGGAACAAATTATCATATTTGCGTACCGCGTGCGCTTTTTAAAGTGTGACACACATCCTGACAACAGACAACATATCTCTCGGGTAAATAGTCACGGGCACGTGCTACCAATAACATCACAGGAATGGGAACATGTAAGTGTAAACTACATCTGTTGGGGGAAAACAATATTCCAAATACTCCAGAATCTGATATGAAAAGAACACAGACATATCTAGCAATGGGGTGGTTGGAGGGGGTAGGGTGGACTGGAAGCACCTTACCCTGCACTTTGTACAGGCACATGAGACTGATACTTGATCTAGTGTTGTTGAAGCGGATTGATTCACTGTTTGTTGTTTTACGCCGCACTCAGCAATATTCCAGCAATATGGCGGACTGGTCTGTAAAGTTGAAACAATCCAGAGTCTGGCGGGGACACCAAAATGGGCAGACAATCCCGTGATCAACAGCATGTGCATCGTTCCACGATAGGCTACCCCACCGCCATAATTGGGATACGATAGCGAGCCATAGCATAGCGCTACGGTCGCTTTGTGAAACGTTTAGCTGATTAATGGTTTCTTAATTCCTGAAATTACATCATAACACATCGAGTAGAAGAAACCGGTTTCCCAAATCTGGATTTATCCCAACATTTGTTCCAAGCTGGGTCCGTTAAGTCATGCATGCATAGATCGATGATTTGAAATGGCTTTGTAGAAGCCACATGTTAAGTGGAAAGTGGAGTGAGTGAGTGAGTGCGTGCGCGAGTATGGTTTTACGCTGCTTTTAGCAAAATCACGACGGGGGACACCGGAGATGGGCTTCACACATTGTACCAATGTGGGGAATCGAACCCGGGTCTTCGATTAGACAAGCGAACGCTTAACCACTATAGTGCTGTCGGAAATAGAAAAAAACTGTTTTTAGGCTATTACTCTGTATCCCTAAAATTTACCCCATTGCAAATAGCATATGTCGAAATAACCTACTTCGGCCTAACTGGGCGTTCAGTGGGATGCGTAATAGGATATCCAGAAATGCATGTTTAAAATCGGGTGAAACTTCGAAAAAAATACGAATAGCTTCTGAAAACAATAGATCAGACTATAAATGGCAATTATAAAAAAATAATAATAGGTCGCTCAGCCAGGTATGACGACGGACCGTCGACTCGCTTGACATGAAATGCACGTGCTGCCCACAGACACAAGGGGTCATCTCAGATATATTTTATGCGTTTTCATGTGTATTGAATATGTCCCTATTGATTATCTAATCGTAGCTAATGACTCTATCCCCAAGCCCGACCCCAACTACTGTCAGCAACACCCGTCTCGGTGTTGCTTTTGAGACGACCCCTCCTACCTGTTTCTTTTTATAGTGAAAGTGAGACTCCATGGTATCTATCTCCTTAATAGTTTCAGTATTAAAGTTGTTATATTTTACGTCGGTAAGAGTTCCTCCCGTTCCCCCATCCCAAATAATATTTATAAATATACTAGAATTATTAACAAAACTCAACACAACAATTACTAGAGAACTCACAAAATGATTAAAAGTCCAAAATTTAAGTTAGGGTTAGATTTAGGATTAGGTTGAGGGTTAGGTTTAGAGTTAGGTTTAGGGTTGGGGGAACGGAAGGAACTCTTTCCTTTACGTCTGCTAAAGTTTATAATAAAACTAAGTCTAATTTCATAATGGATATTCAAAAAGTGTCATTTGTTATACAATATCATCGCACACTAATTTGCATAAAGCCATGGTCTGCTCCAAATAAGTCGCTTCAGACTGAAAAAAAACCGCATTGCTAATTTCTGCACTAATCTCTCCTCAGTAAAATCCTTCTTTAACATTTCGTATCTCCCTCCCACTGAGACTGTAGTTAGGCCGAACTTAGTTTAACAGATATTTCACGCTTTCACATATTAACTACCTAAATTGTAGATATAAATGTGAAAAGTTTTTTTCTATTTCCGACAGTACTTTAGGCTACCCCACCGTCTCTCATGGAAAGTGGACGCAGACAAAACTAAGATTAGAACAAAGGTGTAAGAGGAGAGAGTGAAGAGGAAACAGGGAAATATCTCCATGAGGGCACGGATATCACCGGTGAAAATATTTTTAGCACATGTCATGGAACTACAACAATTCTAGTACTGTGTCTGAAGAGGCCAGGCTCGGGAATTTGGGATGAGAGGAGGGGGAGATACCCTTTGCAAGCCCTACCCCTCCGGATCCATCTCAGATATACGGACACATGCACGTCGACGTGGATATAGTACAGGGAGACAAGAGGTGATGTGATGTGAGAAACAGGTGCACGGGGAGACTTACGACATGTGAAATAAACAATTGCAAAGAATATATGACACGGCCTTGTGCGTACAAATGTTTTGGCATTTGGTAAACAAACGGTTTGCTTCAGGAACTACTTGTACCTGGGGGTTGTTAAATTTGTGTTTTGTATTTCACCTGTAACATAATAAAATTATATATATCAGAGAAAATATGCATCGCGAAACTCTCCCGAAGATTCACTTTGCAGTATATTCTAGTGGTGTTCCGATTAATTGACATAATCGAAGATTGGTCGCAGTGACCAAACGACCAAGCAATCGATCACAATTTCTCATAATCGAACATAAACGATTTTGGAACTACTGTTTTAGTCTTTTAAAAACTTGACAATGGAACATATCTTAGAAGTTGTCAGGGCCTGAAAATGTGTTTAATTCTTAGAAAACTCACTTCATTAACTGAAAAGCCATGACAGAATATTTTTTTGAAGACTCCGGGAAGTTTATGTTCATGATATATTAGTCATCACTTTAAAGTAGCAAGTTGCATCATGTTAATAAATACATATCTGCAATAACAACCTGGATAGGAAAATCTGAAAAATGACGCTAACCATTTTTTCGATGATTGTTCGTTGGTAATGAAGCAATCATCAATTGTGAGATTTCAACCAATTCCCAACACTAGTATATTCTCAGCACGTGATGCACTATGTCATATATTCTTTGCAATTGTTTCGTGAGGACAACGTGATGTACTATGTTATACATACCCTCCAGCTCCTTCAAGTCTGTCGTTAAATGTAATGAAGGGTCAGATAATGCCAGGGTGAACAATTGTGTCATGCACTGCATCATGCATAATGCATGCATAACTATATTACAGTTATTTACAACACAATAACACATGACATGTGTATGCATACTGGCACTCTCCTGAACCAGTGTTCAAGACTTTGAAGGGAAAGTAACGCGGTGTTGTGTATAAGTGTTAAGTGAAAACATTCAGTGATAATGAAGCTGTGAGTGAGTTGAGTTTTACGCCGCACTCAGCAATATTCCAGCTATATGGCGCAGTCTGTAAATAATCGAGTCTGGACCAGACAATCCAGTGACCACAAGCATGAGCATCGATCTACGTTCAGTGATAACATCCTATGGTATAACTGCTTTTGTTTCAGTGACGTCACGTTCAGCTTTCATTTAAAGGATGAAAGACGTTCATGTTGGGCAAGGATATTTTTTCATACTTTTAACTTTTAATTTTTGCTAGAAAGGGATTGTACAGGACATACAGAAGAATGAATCATATATTGGCATTTAGCAGTATTGTTGTTGCCAGATTAAACATAATATTTTGGCTGTGTTTTGAAAAGTCGCGGCGCCTTTGCATGGCAAATCATTGTAAGAATCAAAATGTTCTCAAATTTCAATAACCACCGTTGTTTTCAAATCACAATAATCACCGTTGTTTTCAAATCTCAATAACCACCGTTGTTTTCAAATCACAATAATCACCGTTGTTTTCAAATCTCAATAACCACCGTTGTTTTCAAATCTCAATAATCACCGTTGATTTCAACAGTTAATTTCACAACCACGGTTATCAAGCTAAAAGTGACATGCAATAAAAACGAGAAGTTGTCATCCATACAGTCGTATGTATCAGTATTAACGATGGTCGATTCAGAATACTTGAAATATGACGGATCTTTAAACTGACATGGGTCACTGACGTACGTGTTTATAGAAGCATTGGGAGCATGGGGAAGAGAGTGTTCCTTCATCAAATGAAATGTTAATAGAGAACCTTTAGTTGTTGCAAACGTAGGTATTCCATTGAATCACGTACAGACTGTAGATTGAATTGATATTGTTCTATATATGCTCATGACGATTGTTTGACCAAACACTGACCTCCCTCGGACAGCTGGTCTCCCATCTCTGTGCCAACCAGTTCCTTAATGAGTCGAAGACGTTCCCGACGCAGCTCCGAACGTTTAGCATTCAGGTTTTTACGTGTGCCTTCAAGATCTCTGTTTATTGTGTTCTTGATGACCTGGAAACATGAACCAGTTGTCGGTAATGTCAAGGACTGCATCGAATATTAACAAGGTATTGCGCATTAAACGTGCGCTATTATTATACTGAAACATTTAAAAAACTATAAGTTGGGTTGTCTTGTTTTTTTCTGTATAGTTTGGATGACTGTCACAGGAGATACATAGACGAGCGACGCAGCGGCGACTTGAAATATTAACGTTGTGAGCGTAATGGCATAATCACTTATTCGTGGTATTTTTACGATGAGCTCCGTCTTCATGAAAAATAGCTTAAAACGTTTTCTCCACCGATTCTATCGACCCGACGGTGTCATAGTAACCATGAACAGGGGACGCAACTCTGCACAGTATAATCGTGAGTAAATTTAAAAGTCGCATTGACATTGTTTCAGCCTTTCATCTACCTGAAATTCTTCAAAGGCATTTAGAAGTTGGTGTAGTAATACAAGACATATCGTATGTATAACAACTTCTTTGTTTCTGACGATGTTTCTGGGCTAGTTCTTGCCCCTTCTTCAGGTGGATAGAATTGAAGCCCCTAGTCATTATCCACTTGAAGGGGCAAGAACTAGCCCAGAAACGTCGTCAGAAACAAAGAAAACAGTTGTTATCAATAAGATTTGTCTTGTATTCTATCGACCTACATTGTTGCGACGGCGGTGTATACGCTCACGGGTCACTTTTAATTTACGCACATTTATTTTTGTATGTGTATTTATTAAAGAAAATTTTATGCACCATTTGCTACCCAATACGAAATTCCATCCTATTTTTATGAGCTACTCACACTGTCAAACCACTGTAACAAGGCCGCGGCCCGCTTGTGAGTCGTACTGTAGCACTGGTACGCATGCTCATGGCGGTCGTGGGACATCATGTCGACGTAGATGTTGCACGTCGCTCGCTTCATCGTCTGCATCTCTTCCTGGTCGCAGTAGGGGAATTTGATGTTGCTGAGGTAGCGCTGAGCGTTCTCGATGTTCTGGGTGGCGGCGATCAGGTTGTTCCGGCATTCTGTCACCATGTCGTACTTCCTCTTGTTGCCGTTTTGGTCGCTGTGGAGGAGAACAGTAAAATGTCGCACACGGAGTAGGTGAGTGAGTTAAACGCCGTCGTGGAGGCGTGATATAGGTGATGGGAGTCGAAATGTATCTCTCAGTACCGGGTTAGAATTGATCTTCAGCAACCCATGCTTGTCGTAAGAGGCGACTAACGGGATCGGGTGGGCAGGCTCGCTGACTTGTTTGACACAAGTCATCGTATCCCAATTGCGTAGATCGATGCTCATGTCGCACATCACTGGATTGTCTAGTCCAGACTCGATTATATACAGACCGCTACCATATAGCTGGAATATTGCGGCGTTTAACAACAAACCAGCCAACTGTTTGTAATGGTCCCGAGTTTCACCGTGCTAAATGCCATACTATAGCCCAATCAGACATGGATACTGAATCCGAGTTATCGTTTTATCCTCTTTACCCACACAGGTAATAGATTATTTTAAGGAAGGGACACCTGACACAGCTGCTTCCTCTATCTACAGCGACACATTTATCATAGGTAAAGACAAGATTCGAACCCAGCTAAGCATCCAGTCAACTCAGACACCACCCTGCACGGCGTGTGGCTTACTTTACGGGGATCTTGGGCACCTCTGTCCACCTGCGGACGGCGAAGGCCATCTGGTTGCAGGCGTGCTGCAGGAGAACCTGGCCGTTCTTCCACTTGTACTGCGCCACTTGGATCCTCCTGGTCCGGTCGTCCAGCTGGTCCACCTCCTTCTCCAGCACGTTCTCCTTGTCGCTGCCGTACGCCCCGTTAAACATCTCCTCTGGAACCACAATTAGCGACGTAAGTTAGATGCAGAAGACTTATTAATTGAAGTATGGTTAAACGTTGATTTTACCATAGACGAGTCACAAACAAAGACCGGACAGTTAACGTTTAGTATATGGGTAACGGCCTCTTAAAAGTCGCCTAACCGCCGATATGTTAGAATTCTCTGAACGCCGCCCTCAGCTCAATCGCCGTACATCCCATTCTCTATACACCCTCGTCTTCCAGCGCCTCGAACGACACCTCCTTTATACCCCCAATACCACCCCTTCACACAGCATCTCGTCTCACTCGCCGTCCATCCCGATATCTGATACCACTACACCCCGCCACCCCCACTACACCCCGCTAGACCCCACTCACCTAGCATCTCGTCCTGCTCGCCGTACAGCCCGTTGATGCCCTGCACATACCGCTACACCCCACTACACCCCGCTACACCCCAACTACACCCCGCTACACCCCGCTACATCCCCACTACACCCCGCTACATCCCCACTCACCTTGCATCTCGTCCTGCTCGCCGTACAGCCCGTTGATGCCCTGCACACCCCACTACACCCCGCTACACCCCTCTTACCCAGCATCTCGTCCTGCTCGCCGTATAGCCGAATCTCTACATCCCGCTACACCCCGCTACGCCCCACTCACCCAGCATCTCGTCATGCTCGCCGTATAACCGAATCTCTACACCCCGCTACGCCCCACTCACCCAGCATCTCGTCCTGCTCGCCGTATAGCCGAATCTCTACACTCCGCTACGCCCCACTCACCCAGCAAATCGTCCTGCTCGCTGTATAGCCGAATCTCTACACCCCGCTACGCCCCACTCACCCAGCAACTCGTCCTGCTCGCCGTATAGCCGAATCTCTACATCCCGCTACGCCCCACTCACCCAGCAAATCGTCCTGCTCGCCGTATAGCCGAATCTCTACACCCCGCTACGCCCCACTCACCCAGCAACTCGTCCTGCTCGCCGTACAGCCGAATCTCTACACCCCGCTACACCCCACTCACCCAGCAACTCGTCCTGCTCGCCGTACAGCCCGTTGATTCCCTGCACATCCTTCTCCAGCTGCTGCACCTCCTTTTCCAGGGTCATCGCCTGGAACTTGATCCCCTCCAGCTGCTTCTGGGCAACCTCCTTCTCGTTGACAGCCTCCAGGTACTCCTCCTGGATACGACAGAATGGCAGGGTTATACTCGGTTACATTGCACGGTTTGTAAATACCTGGATATAATCATATTTCCAGTCTGTTCATCCATGCACGCTTCCTGAAAAGCTATTATGTAATACCCTATATAATACTTTTATGTAATATCCTACTCCAAAAGTACCCTTAACGATTACATACATATTCAAGTAATAATAATAATAATGCTAATTTTTGCGCCTAGATTCCAACACGACGATGTTCTCTGGCGTTACATTATTACCCTGACGGAATTGTACTTTCAAAGCTGCTACTAAGCGCTAAGCGCGACCGTATAGGTCAGGACATCCGCTTCTCAGGTACCCATTTTGAACAGCTGGGTGGACTGAGTGATATGTGGACGAAGTGCCTTGCCCAGGGACACAACATAGCATGAGACACAGGTCACAGATTTTGGTGCCTCCACCGGGATTCGAACCCGGGCCTTTGGCGTGAGAGGCCAGAATGCAAACCACTACACCAATGTAATAGTCGCCTGAAAAGTATGAGTCTACAAAAACATCAACTAAACAACTTGTAATACTTGATGCTACGTTTCATCGCTGTTCAGTGCCACATACAGCAACATTCCAGCCACATGGCGGAAGTTTGTAAATAATCTGGATCAGATACACAAGGGATTGATATCATGGGCACCGATGAACGAACGAGGCCGTCAGGTCACAATGACCCGCAGACAACCAAGTCATTACATAACCTGTCATAGCTACGGGTGGCGTTAGGATCGTGTCGACGCTAGTTCCACGAAATTCCAGCCAAATTCGGCAATTATGAAAACCTTTAGAGTTAACTCCCTTGATTCGGGAAGATGACATTGGCGTTCCCCGAGTTACAGCATACAACAGTGTCCTCATGCTGAGTTACTCACGTGCACGACATGCAGTGTCTAAAGTGAAGCGGAAATACAAATGTGAGCTTACAATGACATATCCAGCAGTCTGCAGTACCGCAAGCTTATTGACACACAATGTGTGAGGCCCATTACTGGTGTAACCAGCGTTGATATTGTTGTAATATTGCTGAAGGCGGCGTAAGAGCCCAACTCACTCACCCGCATACCAGGATCCAGAGAGGAGTGCAGGGGTGTGCAACCTCCCCCCCACCCCCATGTCCTGAAAATTTATTAAAAGACCATTGAACCCCCACCCCCTTTCCCAAGAGTATGCGCAACTCCAACCCCGCCCCACCCTCCACCCCTTCTAAAAAGCTGTATCCTCCCATTTCAGGTGTACCCCCGCCGTGATATTGCTGGAATATTGCTAAAAGCGGCGTAAAACCCATCTCACTCACTCGTATCCATGACTGACATTGCAAAGACTGAGTGGGTTTGGTTTAACGCCGCTTTTCGCAATATTCCTGCAATATCATGACGGGGGACACTAGACGGCAGAACATTTTTTTCAAAACAACTGCTGTTAATAATATAAACGTCTCGTATTGAACTCCTGGGTCTTTTAGTTCAGGGAGCAAAGAAGACAGCCTCCGCGTGTCATTGAATTCCCTACTCGAATAAATCTGTTCAGGAGCAGGTCTAAAGAGGCGAGTTAAGATGAAGTGTCATGGCTTCAACGTCGCGATCCTGAATATTTCACTTAGACACATGTCCACACTGTGTGTGACAGTTTAATATGGATACCCCACTCAGACACAGACTCAGAGCTGGATGGTCCTTGTTTTATCTCCCCGCTGCCCGCACCAGTTAGGGTTACACCAGGACCCAATGTTTAGCACCCCTTGATACACCCGGGGATGCAATCATCGATCTTCCGCTGTGTGGACAGGCGCTCTATCCACAACACAGGCGGTTCATGAACGACAACAACTACTACCCTTTTGAACACAATGAGTTTAAAACTGTGTAACAAGAAATGCAGGAAATTACCATCTCCTAATTAAAATGGCAACCAAATTAAATTTAAGATAGAGTAATTTTCATAAAATCAATATAGGCATGTTTAAAACTATATTTCCTGTTCTTCATCTTACATGTTTGGACTGCTATTCGCGATCAGCTACCTCCCTTACTTACTGACTATCATAGACAAGGTAAGTAGATATTCAGGCCAGTCACTGAGGTGACCTTTCTAACAAATGTCACGCGCTTCACGGTTTGAATATGACTAAAACTGAAACGATGACAGCATGACGGGAATTTAACCAGGAAGCATCCAAAATATGACATCTTTCAACAGTTAATAAGTTTTAAAAACTATTCAATTACGTATAAGTCCCACTGTCACTTCAGGAACCCGGCAATGACTGAGTGAGTGAGTTTAGATTTACGCCGCACTCAGCAATATTACAGCTATCGATCTACGCAATTTGGAAACGATGACATGTGTCGACCAAGTCAGCGAGCCTGACCACCCGATCCCGTTAGTTGCCTATTACGACAAGCATGGGTTATTGTTCAAGATCAATTCTAAAACGAATCTTCACGGGTCCGGCAATGAATACACATTGCCATTTAGAAAGTAGGCAAATGTTTGGGTGATTAAACAAAGTACAAATTCTAGTACTTATGTTAGGCGGAGTACCATGCGGTATTCGAACCCTATAGGACTCAACCTAACAAAAGTACATGTACATTTGTACTACAATCTGTGCTTTCCGGGGAAAGTGCAACAGATGTTAGATCCCGGTTAATCAAGGCTGTTGAGATATGTTTAAGTATATTTTATGTTGACCAGCGTGAGTGAGTGAGTTAATATTTGTCGTCACATCGGTAATACTTCAGCCATCTCGTGACGAGAACAATTAATCATCATATTAAAGATCAATAAAATTAGAAAGTATAGAACTGTTAACGATGAACAGAAACGCTGAGCTACGTGAGAACAAGCGGTCGTCGATAACTATAAGCTGAAGTGAGTTTACTTTGACATTCCAGCAACATGACGGCGGTGGACACAACTATAAGCTGAAGTGAGTTTACTTTGACATTCCAGCAATAGAGATATTCCAGCAATATGACGGCGGTGGACACAACTACGTATAAGGTGAAGTGCTCAGTACAGTTCATGCACATCAGCCCTAGTTGGATGAAACCTAATAGAAACAGCTGTAGTGTAATCCTATCTCCGATATACGTACCCATCCTCGGTCGTGCAGGGAGTTATATTTCCAGTCTATTATTGTTTATACTCCGAGACATTCAACACCAAACCTATGTTTCGGAAGCGACGTCACCAGTTTTATCGCTCTTACTACTTATCAAAGCATTATGATTCTGCGACATGCACGTTTGGTATAAACCTACATTTCAAATAGCAGCCCTCTCCTAGTGAGCAAACATGATATTTTTGAAATTTGAATTTATCATTTGCAATTTGAAATTGTCTGCTAGATACGTATGAAGTTGTTCTGAGGTCTAAGACACGATTAGCCCCAGGCGTGGTGTTTGAGTGAGTGAGTGGGTTGAGTTTTACGCCGCACTCAGCAATATACCAACTAAATGGCGGCGGTCTGTAAATAATCAAGTCTGGACCAGACAATCAAGTGATCAACAACATGAATATCGATCTACGCAAATGGGAACCGATGACATGTGTCAACCAAGCCAGCGAGCCTGACCCCCCGATCCCGTTAGTCGCCTCTCACGACAAGCATGGGTTACTGAAGGTTCATTCTAACCCGGACCTTCACCGGTCGTGGTGTTTGATAAAACGGAATGTCGACCATGGTAATATCGACGATCTTTTAAACATAAGTGAGTAATGATTGCTTAACGCACAACAGAAATCTTGCACTTGTTCGAGGCGATCTTTCAAACATGATCGTTTGTCAATTTGATCTCAATGCCATTCAAACCGAACAAAGGTATGGCGGCTAATTTTAGTTTGGTTGCTGTTAGACTGCAAATTGACCGATCACTCGTCTTTTACGACATCGGAGGTTGGTGACGGCCAGTTTCCCCTTATATGCATGACGACGATATATCTACTAGATACACAGACACACTCCCTACTGCTCACAAATTGAACATTGTAAATGATATATTAAAGGACCGTTTATCACATGCTTTCATTGTATAATTGAAGATGTGTGACTACGAATAGGCATGCCATACATGAAACATTTGTTGTGAAACATAGCAAGTTAAAGTGTCACTTATGATAGAGATCTACTTAACAGTTTGAGGAGGCGACGGCTGTATTGGAATATAAATATTAATTATTAAAACACAACATTATAGAGTCGAAATTGGAAATCAACAAATTGTTTTGACGATGTTTCAGGGCTTGGTCCTATAAACGATCGCCGGTTGCACAAAGGGAACTGGAACTGGGCCGGTTGCACAAAGCGATTTTAGTGTTACGATCGTCGTAAGACGATGCTCAAATGTGAGAGTTACGATTCCTTAGTGCTAAGATAGCCCGGTGGCCTTCGACAAAACGAGTGAAGCCCATTTCTGGTGTCCCCCCGCCGTGAAATTGCTGGAATATTGCTAAAAACGGCGTAAAACCATACTCAGTCAGTCAGTCAGTCGACAAAACGACTTTAGGGTAATGTTGATCGTAACTAACATACTTTAACATGGGCCGCTGATAATTAGAGCTAAGGCCGCTTTGTGTAACGGAACCCTGAGCCCTGGGACCCCTTCCACTAAGTGACTGAGGTGATCGTGACTATCATACTTATACATTGGCTTACGATGTTCTTGGTGAGACCTTAGCGCCTCGTGTAACGGAGTCCTGGACCCCGGGGTGCGTCACGTTGGCGCCAGGGGTTTAAGGTGATCATATTATTAAGTAGAGATCGTGTTTGTTTGTTTGTTTGTTTGTTTGTTTATCGCCGCACTCAGCAATATTCCAGCTATATGGCTGCGGTCTGTAAATAATCCAGTCTGGACCAGACAATCCAGTGATCAACAGCATGAGCATTGATCTACGAAATAGGGATACGATGACACGTGTCAACCAAGTCAGCCGTTAGTCGCCTATTACGACACGCATGGGTTACTGAAGACCAAATCTAATCCGGATCTTCACGGGTAAGTAAACACCATGAACATTATTTAGAACATTTGCAATAGATAGGAATGTTTGTCTTTTCTTGATCGTAAATATATCAGCATGTTTAAAGAAACAGAATACCTTACTAAGTATTCACCTGATGAAAGAATATATTACTTTTGTACAGAAGCAGCGTATTTTACCTGTTCCTTGGACATTTTGGCATCGAACGTGTTCTGGTCCATTATGGCCTTGACGCTGGGCTGGTTCATGTTGTCAACGTCGGCCTTCTCCTTCTCCCTGGAGATCAACAAGGTCAAGGTCATTACGTCAACTTCAACGTCATGGAATATATCGTTAATACATGAATAATTTGAGCGTGAAATTTGTTTCCTCTATTTATAGAAAAACGAAAGAAAAAGGTCAACCATACTGCCGGAGATACACTTGAAAATAGGACTTGACAAAAATATATAAAGAATGTTCCCAAGACGTTTCCAGGCTGAACCAATTGAGTGAGTACGGTTTAACGCTGCTTTTTGCAATATTCCAGCAATATCAAGGCGGTGGACACCAGAAATGGGCTTCACACATTGTACCCATGTGGGCAATCGAACCTGGGTCTTGAGCGTGACGAGCGAACGATTTACCACTAGGTTACCCCATCGCCCCTCCAGGCTGAATCAAAGCGACAGCACCTTTCCAATATTCTCACGAAATCTCTGCTAAGGCACTATACGCCTCCGAATGTATAGTGAGCACGTGTTTAGGAACCACTATAAAACAGTGACCACAACAAATGTTCCTGAAATGGAGAGCGTACCCGGCTCTACTGGTGTCATCCGCCACAAACACACGTTACTGGCAAGTCAACTGTTCACCTGACAGTCACGGAAACATACTGAACGTACAGATCAAACACTGGCTGAAACATTGCATACGTCAGGAAGGACCACCACATACTGACCGTACAGATCAAACACTGGCTGAAACACTGCATACGTCAGGAAGGACCACCAAACATGGCTGAAACACTGCACCGTCAGGACAGATCAACATACACTGGCTGAAACACAGGCTGAAACACTGCATACGTCAGGAAGGACCACCACATACTGACCGTACAGATCAAACACTGGCTGAAACACTGCATACGTCAGGAAGGACCACCACATACTGACCGTACAGATCAAACACTGGCTGAAACACTGCATACGTCAGGAAGGACCACCACATACTGACCGTACAGATCAAACACTGGCTGAAACACTGCATACGTACGTCAGGACCGTACAGATCAAACACTGGTCAGGACGGACCACCACATACTGACCGTACAGATCAAACACTGGCTGAAACACTGCATACGTCAGGAAGGACCACCACATACTGACAGTACAGATCAAACACTGGCTGAAACACTGCATACGTCAGGACGGACCACCAATCCGTATCAAGCGATACATTGCTGTGGTAATAACCACTTCCTGTTAGCTTCATCTTAAACTACCATCAAATATGGATTCCTACTTTCCTTTTTCCGGCAGCTTTAATAAATAATTAGATTCTGGACAATATGACAAATTTCATACGAAAACGACAAGAAAAGGCCATCTGTTTCCGCCAAGGAGAATTGTGTGAACTGTACAGGAAGAGAGGGCGGAAGACGGAAGCTGCTGGAGTGGGTGTGGGAGGAGACGTGGAGGTGGTGCTGAAGCCAACAAACATGGTTTGGTGCTGTCAAACAGAGCCATAATCAGGGCCATGTTCCTCAAAGCGATCGTAGCGCTACGACTGTCGTAAGTCTATGTTAAAGTATGGGAGTTTCGATCAACTTAGCGCTACGATCGCTTTGAGGAACGGGGCCCAGGGCTATGCGATTTAAGCGTTGTCGTGCAATTCTTAAACATTCTTGAAGCCCCCTGAAGTGCTTTTCAACGCGATTTCTTCAAAAATATATTGGAAATATTACTCATACTTTCTGACACGCCTCTTGGTAGTGCTACTGTGTATATTACTCACATTTTCTGACACGCCTCCTGGTAGTGTTACTGTATATATTTTCACACTTTCTGACACACCTCGGTAGTGTTACTGTGTATAGTCCTCAAACTTTCTGACACGCCTTCTGGTAGTGTTACTGTATATATTACTCACACTTTCTGACACATCTAGGTAGTGTTACTGTGTATATTCTCACACTTTCTGACACGTCACCTTGTAGTGTTACTGTATATATTACTCACACTTTCTGACACGTCACCTGGTAGTGTAACTGTATATATAACTCACACTTTCTGACACGTCACCTTGTAGTGTTACTGTATATATTACTCACACTTTCTGACACGTCACCTTGTAGTGTTACTGTATATATTACTCACACTTTCTGACACGTAGTGTTACTGTATATATTACTCACACTTTCTGACACGCATCCTGAGAGTGTTACTGTGTACATTACTCACACTTTCTGACACGTCACCTTGTAGTGTTACTGTATATATTACTCACACTTTCTGACACGCATCCTGATAGTGTTACTGTGTACGTTACTCACACTTTCTGACACGCCTCCTGATAGTGTTACTGTGTATATTACTCACATTTTCCGACACGCCTCCTGGTAGTGTTACTGTATATATTCTCACACTTTCTGACACGCCTCCTGATAGTGTTACTGTGTATATTACTCACACTTTCTGACACACTTCGGTAGTGTTACTGTGTATAGTACTCACACTTTCTGACACGCCTCCTGATAGTGTTACTGTGTATAGTACTCACACTTTCTGACACGCCTCCTGATAGTGTTACTGTGTATAGTACTCACACTTTCTGACACGCCTCCTGATTGTGTTACTGTGTATATTACTCACATTTTCTGACACGCCTCCTGATAGTGTTTCTCCATCTGTTCTACTGTGACCTTGATATCGACCAGCTGGTCTCGCTTCATCTGGAAAGTGCCTACAGAATTCTTGGATTCCTGCTCCCGGATCTTTTTCTCCAGCTCAATATATTTCCTGAACATGGCCATGATGTCTTCCTTTGATTTCGCCTGAAACAATAAAAACAAGAATATTTCCGCGGAATGTTTTACTCAGTACATGATTTAGTCAGGTTTATGCATTGTTGACTAACTTTAACGTCGATCACAATTGTCCCTGAATACGAATTCAAGGAGTAAATGTAAACCGTCTTCAAACATAGTCAATTGAACACAGGTGTCCCTGGTATTTGGTTTGGTTTATTTGTTGTTTAACGTCGCCCTCAGCAATATTCCAGCTATATGGTCGCTGTCTGTAAATGACTGCGTAAATACCAAACTCACTCATTCACTTACTCTGAACAAAACGACGTAAGAGTTCAATAGGCTGTTATTATTAGTGAGTAAGTGAGTGAGCTACGTTTTACGCCGCAGTCAGCAATATTCCAGCTATATTGCGGCGGTCTGTAAATAATAGAGTCTGGACCAGACAATCCAGATATCAACAACATGAGCATCGAGCTACGCAATTGGGATACAATGACATGTGTCAACCAAGTCAGCGAGCCTGACCACCCGATCCCGTTAGTCGCCTCTTAGACAAACATGGGTAACAGAAGGCCAATTCTAGCCCGGATCTTCACGGGTCTGTCCTGGTTAGGTCTAGGGGAAGATGATTACATTTTCAATGTTATGACTGCAAGAGACACAAAACGATGAAACCTATGCAAAACACATATCGGTTTGTTATTGAGAAAACGTTGTGCAAGCAGACCTGTTGCTGTTGTTGTTGCTGCTGCTGCTGTTGTTGTTGTTGTTGTTGCTGCTGTTGCTGTTGTTGGGCTGCTAATTGTTGCTGCTGCTGTTCCAGACGCCGCCGCTCTTCTTCTTGTTGCATAGCCAACTGTAAAAATATATCCCACTACTACTGATACAAGCTTACTTGAAGGACATCGACGACCATATCGCCATTCTATCGTGATACGGGGCAGTGGAGTAATCTAGCGGTTAAAGCATTCGCTCGTCATTCTGAAGACCCGGGTTCGATTCCCCATATTAGTACAATATCTGAAGCTCATTTCTTGTATTGCAGGAATATTGCTAAAAGCTGCGTAAAACAATATTCACTCACTCTATCGTGATAAATACCATGGAGACATTTCCCCTCAGTTTTGTTTCGTTTCGTTTTTGCAATATTCAATTTAATTAACTAAGCTGAGAATTCCTCTCGAAATACTAAAATATCACAAGTATGTTCTCCCTCTGATTAATAAAAGCGACAAACATATCCACGATGAAGAGAAATATCTTCTAAAGCTGTCAGCTGCACATAATTCTATTTTTGTGACATAACAGTTGTTCGAGAAAAGGTGAGCGTATCCTGACCCATTGATAGAGCTCGTCACAAACACACCCAATGGCAAGTCAAGTTTTCACCAGATACCTCCTGCCTGTTGCAATCCAGGCTAAAGCAAGTTTTACATTGCTAACAAACTCAGATAACATGCAGCAAATAACACAGATACCCCACTTAGACATGTACACAACAACGTGTTTTATCCCCTTAATGTCGAGCTCTAGGCAATTTAACAATAAGAACTATATATTAAAGTATAAGTACGCCGGTGAGGTAGCCTAATGGTTAAAGCGTACGCTCGTCATGTCGAAGACCCGGGCTCGATTCCCCACATGGGTACAAAGTGTGAAGCCCATTTGCGATGTCCCCCCGCCGTGATATTGCTGGAATATTGCTAAAAACGGCTTAAAACGTAACTCATAATAGACCATGATTGCGGTCGGACTGAGGTATAGCCATTAGGCAACAAAAACATGGTGTGGTTTGCGCAAGGAATCGTTATTTTTCTGCTTTGCGAGAGACGTTTAATAAGAATGTTGTACTTCTGACACGTGCAGTTCTACTGTGGGTGTGCTCTAATCTATGTCTCCAGGGCGAGTATTTCGGTATACCGTTAGTGTAAGACTACGGCAACTTGAGCTGTGGAGATATAGAGATATAGACTCCATGGCCTTCACAATGAAAACCACACATGTGAATTCACAACTTACTCCTGAAGACAAGCTGGGATGACTTTCTTCTAATACATGGTTGCATAATCTTGTAATTGGATATTGATCCTCTAAATATATTTGTTTCATGTTGAATTTATAAATGTCATTTCAAATGCGGAGATACATGTTCATTTTATACCATGCTAATAATCCATGCATCAGCGTCAATGGGATCTATGCATCTAAATTTACAAAACGAAATACATTGCTTATTCAAAGCAGAACTTGGCGCAGAAATTTGCGGGCTGCAACTATATGTCAATCTGGGACATCCCTGATGTTCTCATACTCTGTTCATCAAGACCGGGACATATTGATTCTGTATTATAGCAATGGTACGTAAACTAAAACAAATGTGATTTAATCATGAAGTTACATATTTATTTAACCATACGCTAATAATTCCTTCATCAGCATAAATGGGATCTAAATATGTGCACCTGATTCTCCTCACAAATCTTAGCTATGCAAAACATAACATATTTTTCATCTAAGCAAAGAGACATTCGTATGACTATGCAGCTCACTTCCCGATTACTTCTATCTCTAGAAAAAGTAATATTGATATATACAATACTTTTAATATGATGTTTATTAACACAAAGATTCCCGTTTATTCGTGTTAGACAAACCGACGCCATCCAAACGTGGATGCGTATGTCAGTACATTGTATAAGTATTCAGCTGAAAAGTATAATGCTTATACACCCTGTCACTCGGAATTTCTTTTTTAAAGTGTGAGAAAAGGTAATATCTCTCTTCCAGGCAAATATATAGTTGTAGTAATTTAACTATGTATCGTTATGCATGCAATGTTGTCACTGTCAGGTTCATTTGTGTTCTAGTGTACTTAACACTACATGTTTATATACTGTATATAAATTCATATCTGAATATGTTATACTGGGATGTTCTGGAAAGAGGCTGGGGTTTTATATTTGTTTTATATGGTGTCGACCGCCTCCGTGATGTAGCGGTTAGAGCGTCCGCCCGGAGAGCGGAAGGTTGCGGGTTCGATCCCCGACCGCGTCATACCAAAAAGACGTTAAAAAATGGTACTTGTTGGTCCCTGCCTGGAGCTCGGCATTAATGGGTACAACAAGGACTGGTCGGCTCGGAGTCAGTATAATGTGTCTGAGTGGGGTATTCATGCTTCACTGCGGCATGGTTTCTCAGTGGGCTAGCACTATAAAACCAGCTTAAGTCTGGGCTAGTACAAGCAATGTTTAATTACAGTTATAAGGTAGGGCTCGATTTTACTGTTTAATTACAGTTACTAAGAAGGGCTAGAATTTACTTTTTACTGATAGTTACATGGTCGGGCTCGATTTTACTATTTGTATTATAGTCAAACATGCGGGACTCGATGTAACTATAGAAAAATCTTTCTTTTAAATTTGACACGTTTCGCAAGGTCATAGATATTTAAACAGTCCTTTACAAGAAAATTATTTAAACAGCTGTTGTCACCTGCCCTCACTTTGATGATCGAAGCAATAAGTGTTTTTTGTTTGTTTTTTCTTTGATGGGGTAAAGGAATTGACACTTGCCAAATTAGCCAATATGCTGGGCCGCCGTCTGTGTACAGACTGACGCTTAGTCTCCGAAAATGTATAATTTCGAGAGAAACAAATAACTCCATTTAAAGTTAAAAGGAGCCCCAGTGAACTCCGAGATTCCTGAACCTGAGGAAATCTAAATGTGCTTCATTTAGGGCTTTCGCTTTGGAGAAAGGGTAGGGGGGAAAGGAAATAGTGAAGTTCAGGGACTGTGAGACAGATTAACCTTGCCCTGCTTACATTGGTTATGTTATTATATTCTCAAGGCATCAAAGTCAAATGAAGGTTATAATCAAGTTTATTGCAAAAACAGCACATCACATGTTGGACTCCTCTAACTAATATATCATATGCAAAAATTTCAACACATTTTGAAAAAGATAGCAGAGAAATGGTCATGGCTGGATCTATAAACGCCTGCCTTAGTGATAAGGTTGAAAATGGAATCGGATTTCTGTGAGTAGAAATAAGGTCGCTTGTCAAGTGATCCTTTCATGATATTTTATGGGACACGGAATGAGTGTCTGTACACTGTAATTACAACTCACTATTTTGGGGTCGTGTGTCTGGATCTGTTGTTGTTGCTGCTGCTGCTGAGGGGGGACGTTGGCGACGGGTCTCTGGGCTTGTCTCGGGTAAGCCTGGGACGGAGGACCGTGGTTGGTTGGTGTTGATGAACTGCAGCCCATAGTCAATCTGTTCTGTAACAAACAAACCACGATGTAAAGTTACGTTGTTCTGTAACACACAAATCACGGTGTAAAGTTACGTAGTTCTGTAACACACAAATCACGGTGTAAAGTTACGTAGTTCTGTAACACACAAATCACGGTGTAAAGTTACGTTGTTCTGTAACACAAATCACGGTGTAAAGTTACGTAGTTCTGTAACACACAAATCACGGTGTAAAGTTACGTTGTTCTGTAACACACAAATCACGGTGTAAAGTTACGTAGTTCTGTAACACACAAATCACGGTGTAAAGTTACACACAAATAGGTGTAAAAGCTGTAACACACAAATCAAAGTGTAAACACACAAATCGTTACGTAGTTCTGTAACACACAAATCACGGTGTAAAGTTACGTAGTTCCTGTAACACACAAATCACGGTGTAAAGTGTAAAGTTACGTAGTTCTGTAACACACAAATCACGTGTAGTTTGTAACATAAAGTTACGTAGTCCTGTAACACACAAATCACGGTGTAACGTTACGTAGTCCTGTAACACACAAATCACGGTGTAAAGTTACGTAGTCCTGTAACACACAAATCACGGTGTAAAGTTACGTAGTCCTGTAACACACAAATCACGGTGTAAAGTTACGTAGTCCTGTAACACACAAATCACGGTTTAAAGCTCTGTAGTTCTGTAACACAAATCACCGTGTAAAGTTACGTAGTTCTGTAACACACAAATCGCCGTGTTACGTAGTTCTGCAACACACAAATCACCGTGTAAAGTTACGTAGCTCTGTAACACACAAACCACGGTCTGAAGTTACGTGCGATTGGTCTACGGCGCCCGTAATCATGCAGATCTCATGTATCTTATGTTGGAATCCTATATTCTCCCCGCTTTTTTGTTTTTCGCATCAAACGTGTGATAGTTCGTTGTTTTCACCGAATTGTCTCCATTCTACATCACAAAAGGGGTCCAGAAAACAGACTTGGCTGATTGATCACATGATTGTCTGGTCCAGATTCGAACATTGACAGATCGCTGTTGATTAAGCAAAAATATTGCAAATAGCATGTACCCCTTACTTATCATAAACTACCTTCTTGACGTCATATGCCTGTGTACTGTGAAACCCATTCCTGGGGTCCACCGTCGTGATATTGCTGGAATATTGCTAAAAGCGGCGTAAAATAAACATAATTCAAGAACGAAATGTTGAGAATATCAAAAGAACGCACACGCACACACGCGCACAAACTGATATTATTCATAAACTGACTTGTAATCACTCAAATATTATATGCATACATTCAAATATTCGGCGACTATCCAAATTGTAAGGACGTAGCTCTGCAGTTAATCGTGTCAATGACGCCGGCGCGGTAATAGCACCTCTTCCTCCCATGAGCCATCAGTGAGCCAAATGTTCCCGTCAACCGTTATTCGTTTACAAAGTCTAGATACAGCCCCCGCATGACACGTTCATCTGAATTCCAGCGGAAGAATTGATTAGAACCAGACACGGGACAACACACAGCATCGTACCTGACCCCGTCCGCAGGAAATGCTGGCAGTGCAGTTTTGTCAGATTTTATTATTCTGGTCAAGTATGTTTGAACTGGAACTCGATCCAGGCAGAGAAATCTGAGGGGAGACACAGCTTTGATATGTCCCTCTGCGATATAACTGGCAGAGAGCACCGATGGCGATGGTGTTAGATCTAGCGCTGTGGGAACGCTCGTACACAAGCAGATATTGTATTACTGAAATCGATAATTCGGTCTTATATTACACTTTCTGGTAGAAGGCTTGGTCGTTGATGTCAGGTTGTATAAACTGGTAGAGAGGCATGTGTCATAGCCGTCGGTATCATCATCATCACCATCACCATCGTCGTCGTCGTCATCATCGTCATCATCACCACCACCTCCACCACCATAATCATCATCATTATCATCGTCGTCGTCATCATCATGGTCATCACCACCACCACCTCCACCACCATCATCATCATCATCATCATCGTCATCATCACCACCACCACCATCATAGTTATCATCGTGGTTGTCATCATCATCGTCGTCATCATCACTACTACCATCATCATCATTGGCATGGTCGTCGTCATCATCACCACCACCATCATTATCATCGTCGTCGTAATCATCATCGTCATCATCACCACCACCATCATCATCGTCGTCGTCGTAATCATCATCTTCATCATCACCACCACCATCATCATCATCGTCGTAGTCGTAATCGCCGTCATTGCACCCGTCGTTATCATTGTCAGTGGCGTCAATATCATACGCAACATCATCATTGTCAGCGTCATCAATATCATACACAACATCACAGTTTTGGTTTTGCTATCATTTTCAACAGCAATGATAACAATATCATCTTTTCGCCATAATCATGTATTATTTATATCTATACCAAAGTCACCATCACCCTTCCTGATCATTATCAACAGTAATAACGAAATCATCTTCATCATCATTATCACTACAATTAACATCATAATCACACCAGCATTTTCATCACAATCAGCATCATTATCATCATCACCTGTAGCAGATATCCTTCCCTCCTAGCCCCCACCCCTCCCCTGCACTCACACCCAAGTGGTAAATCAGGTCCTCCAATATCAGCAACCCCTTATGAGTTTAACATTACATTTACTATATGTGATAGCCCGTGGCTATAGATTATGCGCTTTGAGATTATTAAAAGTTTTCGGTTTCGTTTGATCTAGCCTACCGATCCCTTTCTAATCCGCCAAATACATTTACGTTTTTCATTTCACTTCGAATAAGAAATCCTGATCGAAAACAAAAGTGGTACGGCTTTGCAACTGCTTCTGTATGGGCTGAAATGTTAGAGTAATGGCCTAACGCTTTCCTTTCCAGATGAGACCCGTGAAGATCCAGGCTAGAAATAGTCTTCAACTACCCCAGCTTGTCGTAGTAGGCAACTAACGGGATCGGGTGGTCAGGCTCGCTGACTTGGTTGACATATGTCGTATGCCAATTGCGTAGATCGATGCTCATGATATTGATCGCTGAATCGTCTTGTCCAGACTCGATTATTTACAGACCGCCGCCATATAGCTGGAATATTGCTGAGTGCGGCGGTAAACAACAGACTTTCCAGATGGCAATATGCTGATGACGGCTTTACTTAAAGTGGGGTTCATCTGGTTCAAGTGACGACCCACTAACTGCATTGGGGTATAACAGCTTCGTTGATTTCGTTAAGAGTACATGCACCAATCAATAACAGAATGCTCGCAATGAAATACCAGCAAAAGAAGGATCTCCCAGTTTCAGCTTCGGTATGAGTAAATAGATTTCCACGGCAATTTATAAATGTTGTGTATCGTTGCATAACTATTGCAGGGCCTTTGCATGTGTTTGTGATTGGTGCGTCTGATGGGACACGACACATTTTGCACGTACGCCTAATATCATTACTATACTCATGCCAATAATGGTTGTCACCCCCTTCATTTTTTTTTATTGGAGAGGGTGTGTGGGGTTAGGGTGGTGAGGGGGTGACAACCATTATTGGCATGAGTACTATATGTAATGTTGGATTAAGACCCAACTGAGTGGCTGAGTGGGTTAGATGGCTGACTTTGTGTGCTGGCGATTAGGTGCGTATGGGTTCTGGGTGGGACTCAACCCAACAAACGTACCAGAATCTGTACTTTACCGAGAAAGCGTAATCTCAAATATAACATATGTTACGTGGATATGAAGATGACGGTGTTCTTGTCCCTTAACGTTTCATGGATGAATTACAGCATGCTAAACTTGATAATTTAATAAATGAATTAAAGTTCACGTGAACATGAAACACTAAGGCTCTAACAATCTGCCGATGATGACTGACTGAGTGACTGAGTGAGTGAGTGAGTTTGGTTTTACGCCGCTTTTAGCAATATTCCAGCAACATCACGGCGGGGGGACACCAGAAATGGCCTTCAGACATTGTGCCCATGTGGGATTCGAACCAGGGTCTTCGGCGTGACGAGCCAACGCGTTAACCATTAGGCTACCCCACCGCCCCTGCCGATGATGATGATTTGGAGATTTAACGTGCGCTATCTGACATAATGCGTATAACACACACAGGCCCGCCAGGCCAATAAGTGTTTGATCAAAAGATATGGCAACCTGAAGGTGGTGTTTGTGCTGCATGTTTAACTGTGCATGAATTTTTAATTTGCAAATTTGCCAGAAGTTGTAGGGGGATGAACTATGGGGTTGTCTGGTTGGTATTTGTTTGGTTTGGTTTTATGTTTTATTTTTGTATTATCATATTTATGTTAGCACTGGTTGGTTATGTGGGATTATATAAGCGGTCTAAAGGTGAGGTGAGGTGAGGTGAAATTGGGTTTTACGTCGTGCTTGAGAATATTTCGCTCATATGACGACGTGCATGCGTGTGTATGTGTATGTGCGGCTGCTTGTACTAGCCCAGACTTAAGCTGGTTTTATAGTGCTAGCCCACTGAGATACCATGCCGCAGTGAAGCATGAATACCCCATTCAGACACATTATACTGAGTCCGAGCCGACAAGTCCTTGTTGTACCCATTAATGCCGAGCGCCAGGCAGGGACCAACAAGTACCATATTTTAACGTCTTTTGGTATGACGCGGTTGGGGATCGAACCCGCGACCTTCCGCTCTCAAGGCGGACGCTCTAACCACTACACCACGGAGGCGGTCAGCGGTCTAAAAGGCCAGTTTTGATAAGAAATATGCCTATCAGACTTTAAAGGTATGGGTGTTATTTAGTGGGACCTATGAGTGTTTGTAGTGTTAGGTGTGTGTGTGTGTCCAGTGAACCCTGGAGCACCATTCTGTGTTGTTGGTAGTGTGTGCAGTGTAGCAGGACGTGTTCGGGCGTTTCTGTTTCGTTGCATGCGCAGTGCGTGCATTAAAACAACCCGCCATTACTGTACATGCTTAAGTATACCGTCTCTTTGTATTTATCACGTATCAGCCTGACAATATAAAATGTCGATCACAGACATTCAAAGCCAATTAAATAAGTTTGCTGAAATAACTCTTTGTACTTATGAGTGTACTCTCGTGTTAGTTCTCAACGCACCTCAAACTCGATAACAAGATACCAGACTGCTTCAACTGTGTTCGTTTGAAGTGTAGGCCCCTCTACTTGACATCGTCTCCACGTTGAGGGCAGGACCAGATTGTGGGCGCGGGGTATATACAAACAGGAGGCTTTCAGTGTCTATTTAGGGGAGGAGGAAGGCGCAATGTCTACATCGAACAATGGGTAGTGTTTGTTGAAACAACCACAAGATGCTTCAACTGATGAATATCCGCCAGCTTCATCATCACAGAAGGTAAACGTAGACTGCCTACAGGAACTGAGATTGTGTCGTGATGGGTGCGGCGAATGTAATACTCAGAACATACATGTGGCTGGGAAGTGGGATTGTGTGCCTAGTTGGAGTGTGTCGGACGATTTGGCGAGAGGGTGAGTGAGTGAGTTTGGTTTTACGTCGCACTCGGCAGTATTCCAGCTATGTGCGGTGGTCTGTAAATAATCGAGTCTGGACCAGACAATCCAGTGATCAACAGCGTGAGCATCGGTCTGCGCAGTTGGGATACGATGACATGTGTCAACCAAGTCAGCGAACCTGACCACCCGATCCCGTTAGTCGCCTCTTAAGACAAGCATGGGTTACTGAAGACCAATTCTAACCCGGATCTCCACGGGTTGATTTGGTGGGAGAAGTGATATTGAGTCTTTTAGCCATGATACAAATTACCAAGAGAATAAATGGATGTCGACATCTTTATTATCAGGGACACACCATTTGTGATTTTAGCTGCCCATGTTACAGTGACCTTCGAAAGAAAAATACACGAACAATAGTATCACATCACCTATGGACTTTAACACCATATAGCCATTTATATTCGTATCACAGGGGCGGATACAGCTTTTTGAAAAAGGTTGGGTGCACACTCTTGGGAAAGAGGGGCTGCAATCTTCATTTTCACTCGAGTTTCAATGGTTATATAACAAACTTTCAGCACATAAGGGGGTGGGGTGCACACCCTGCAAACACACCACACCCCCACACCCCCACACCCCTCTTTGGATCCGCCTATGTATCATAAGCATGTCTGTTTGTGTGATTATTTTGACCCTCTGGGCACACCGTGCAATAACTTTTTACCCTCTGGGCACACCGTGCAAAAACTTTAGATATGCACGTGCTACGACCAAGGGCGAGCATCACGTGCAATACGTGTCAGACATTTAGCAGATATCAAGTTTCAGTAAACCAAGAGATGCTGGTTGTCATTATCCGACTATCAGCCAATTGACCAGAAAACATCAGCAAGCCGATGACGTTAAGCACGTTAACGTCCAGGTCGTCCACGAGTGATAACTCCTGGGGAGGAGACAGCCCTTCTCAGTATCACAGGACTTCATCCGTTCAAGCCAAGTGGCGTGTAAAACGGAGAGTGGCTTCCTCATAGTCGTTTGTCTAACGGAACGGTTCGAAATCGCCCCATACCGGGCGTGTATAGAAGCAGACGACCTATCAGACGTCCGTTGTTGTTACAAAGCGGCGCAACTAGCTTGATGTCAATCTTGATGTCAATCTTGATGTCAGGCGCCAAAGGTTCGTGTTTGGCGCCGCAGAAACACTGCATCTGCACAACAGAATATCTTGGAGCAGGGGTCCATTCATGTTGTGGGGGCGCCTCTCATTGAACTTACTTGACCTTGTAACTATCAGACAAAAATTTGAATGGACAACGGTACATCACTGATATCCAAGACAGGCCTCTTGTACCACATTTCGAAGACCATCTTCAAAATACAATGCCTGTCTTCATAAACGACATTGCGAGGCCAGATTGTGCACGTGCCGTTGGTGATTGTTACCTCGAGAGGCGGTAGCAACTGTACCTTGGCTCGCCAGAAGTCCAATCCCTTGGGACATGTTTGGGACATCATGGGTTGCAGAATACACCAGAGAGATCCTCCAGTACAAAATCATGATGTATTGGTACAATCCCCCCATCAAGAATGGAACACAATACCTCAACGTCAAATTCAACGTCTGATACAGTCAGTAAGGAGGAGGGTCAGGGCTGTTATTGTAGTTGGCGGCGGTTACACCACATATTCACGTTGTGCTGGGTTAATGATACTTATGTGATTTCTTGAGGATTGTATGTAAGAGCCTTGAAAATGACCGCACTTGTAAACGTGATACGACTTTAGTTATCAGGGTCCCGATACATAAAACGTTCGTAGCGCTACGACATTCGTAAGCCTGTGATAAACTATAGAGTTGCGACAGGTCGTAAAGTTACGAACGCGTTGTGGATCGGTACCCAGCACAACAAAATAAGTAATGTATTGCCATGTTTGTTTCAGTGATACAGTTTCTCTTTGTTTTTAGATTTGTCATTGAATTATTCTTTGAGGATCACTTTATCCAGGCAGTAATTTATGTTGCGTTTTGGATTAATTCCTTTGCTATGGGTAAATGAAACATATTGATACTTTGAAAACGGGCGTTGCGATATTTTTTTCCATGTGTATATATGGAGGTATTGGAGTTATCCTTAGTTAGTGTTAAAGTATGGGTGTTACGATCGTCTTTGTGCAACGACTGTTACAAGCCTATATTAAAGTAGGAGACTTACGGTCGTCTTTGTGCTATAATGAACGGGGCCCGTATTTCTAGAGATTATTTACTGGAGACTGTCAGCTCTTTCTGGCACAGCCAGCACATTTGACTCAATAGTCGTGAGAGACAGGAAACTGCTACAGACTGAGCGAGCGCTGCTCGATAAAACCATAAAGACAGCACGACCGTTGCCGAGGTAATGTTCTAATAGCCTACTTGAAGGATGTAGGACATGTGGATGATGAGTTTAATGTCCAATAGATAGCATTACTAATGATAAGCGACACGATTTTATCACGAATCATTATTCAGTGTCGGGCTGGGGAGTCGTATATCGCCAACTGTATTGAGGGGAATTGGATATGGCCTTTTAATGCATCCGTCACTTGGCTCCCCGATGAAAGTTCATCCATCGACATCTGTCTGTCTGTCTGCCTGTCTATCCATTCCAAACCGAAACATGAGTCTCATTAAACTACTATGGTTACACTGAATTCCAATTTTTTGTTTAATAAAAAAATGGTACTTATAAATGAATTCTAATTTTAAACTTTAATAACATCGTATTTCTATATTTTATGGCGAGGTGTAGGCAGCATGACCTTAACTAAGACGTCACAGACTGCCCCTGGTAGATGAGGTCGTAAAATGATTCACAATGCACCTGGCACACTGGTTACACCTGTTATGTGTTTTTGGCGCTTATTCAGTGTAGTGTAGTGTAGCACAATGTGATTGATATAATATCAATTCCGTACCAGACCGCCAAATCTTTCTAGCGGCAGAGCCTCGTTTTGAGATTTCGACGATTTCCAGGTTTCCGATTGTCAGAGCTCGCTGTATGACAGAGCACGCTGCATAACGTGTTTGCAAGGATTTGACGGAGCGTAGTGTTGCACTATACAAGTGTTTAGATGTGTCATATTATATATTATATTGATATTTATGTATCCAGTTAAATGATTTGGTCTCAAAATTCTGGACTGGTTATTGTACTAAGTTGCACAAGAGGACGGAACCCAGTCAACAGGAAACGAGACTGTTGTGTAATCAATGTTTTGACTTGCATGTGTGTGTGTGCGTGTGCGCGCGCGCGCGAGCGCCCGTGTGTGTGTAATTTCATCAAACGAACCAGACCACACCAATGTTCCATGTAGCTCGAAACTGCAAACATGATAACATAAAGAGATATTTCAGGTTACAACATCCTATCCTCTTGAAAGCAATTGTAATTTTACAAGATTTCGTATCAAGTATGAGCCACATGCTGATACCGTTTTCAAATGACTGCTGTTTCTATGATAATGTCTTATCCTAGAGGGGCGGTGGGGTAGCCTAATGGTCAAAGCGTCCAACAATTATTGGCATGAGTATATATACACTACAAACCACACTCCGATCTCTTTGATTGTCTCTTGCTTAAAAATGGTATAAGAATCTATACCGAAACGTTGCACCATATATAATAAAGAAGTTGTTATCCATAAAGTATATCTTACTTTCTTATAAACCTCACTCCCTTCATTCGAGGTAATGCGGCAGTATCAAATAGAAACACATATCGATAAAGTAAACTGAAAGTGAAACAATATGCAATATGAAGGTTAACATAAATCATTTTTCCATATGTCATGTCTACAAATACTTTTAAACTGTACCGCGATATTTCAGGCGTAAAATGTCGTCAAACGTTAAAATGCAGTCAATAGACGATGATAAACGGTAATTTGCTTTTTGTTGTCAAATATTATCTTTTTCGTATCGATTACCGCCACACAGCTCATATCATTTGATGGGGCAACAAAAAATAAATGCCAGTTTTTAAGGTCAGGTCTTTTATGGGCGTTTTGATGTTGGAAGAACATGGAGACATGAAACATTGATGAACAACTTCTTTCTTGTTTTGTAACGACATTTCCGTCTACTTCTTGCACCTTCACGAGATGAATACCGAGCAAACGTATTGAGGGAGTATATACTCTTTAAAAAAGTAGGGGATCATGAATTATAAATGTTAATACCAAGTATTAGAACAGAGATAGGTGTTGACGACAAGCGTCACACGCAAGAATCTTTAGGTCTTTGAAACCTAACACCCAAACGTCCGATAGTCATTCCTGGAGGAAGATCGATAAATATCTGTGGACCATCATTTCTGTCAATCTTGTAGCTTATCAGACAGTTTTGATTTACTTGATTCAATTCATTGTTTGCTGAAGATGAGCTGTCAGCAAAGCGGGGAGCAACGGGATATCGGCATTCTTGAAACCAGCAGAAGTTAACGTGCAGATGTTTCGTCTTTCAGGACGACCGTGCACGATTCGTAAATGCCCCCACAACAACCATAGAATGCCACGACCAGTATAAAGCCCTGAACTTTACCCAGCTGAACCTGTCGTGGACTTGACAGGGAGACGTGTGTTTGGACGTCCAAGGCTACAGATCAGGCTGGCTGAAACTTGGACAGGCGCAGAAAGAGGAGTGGAACGGACTCCCTCAAACAGTAAGTTCGAGATTCGTCAAGGAAATGAATACTAGTACTTGATACATCGTGACCATATTGCGCATATCTGAACCAACAGCGTCAAATTTAACAAGCTGGCAGTTGTAACATCTTCTGTCATAATTCGACCCGTGAAGGTCCGGGTTAGAATTGGTATTCAGCAACCCATGTTTGTCGTAAGAGACGACTAACGGAATCGGGTGGTCAGGCTCGCTTGACACATGTCATCGGTTCCCAATTGCTTGTACTGTATTTATTTTAAGAAAAAACTATTTTAAGACACGTGCGTGCGTGTTGTTGTGTTTGTTTCTTTGTTGGTTCAAAAATCTACGGTTGGTGTTCATAATAATCTCGATGATCTTGGTTACCATGGAAACCGTAGCGACATTGAAGAAGACTAGAAATAGTTCCGTCAGGAAGTTATGCATTATTCGAGTGAAATATCGATTCTGTATTTTCAGACAATAAAGATTTTCATAGTAACCATATCATAACACTTCCTACCAAGTATGTTATTGCTTCTACGTTCACGTTGACAATAATAAGCGAGACACGCTGTGTACAGGTCAGAGAGCGTGACATTGGTATGTGACAATGTAAGGTCGTTCATTCAGACATTCACAAAATTGTAATGTTAAACTGTAGAACATTTTGTACAACACGAGGATTGTATTGTATTGTACTCAACCGGAACATTACCCTCATTGAATGAAATATTAAAAATACACTGAAATTGTCCGTTTAGGACAACGTGCTTTTGTCGGAGAACCACGAGTGCAGAGTTAGTGAGTGAATTGGTTTTACGCCGCTTTTAACGGTAGTTTAGTGATATCACGGCACGTCAGTTTGATGTGTGAGGAAAGGGAGATGATACAGCTCTTAGACGCCCACTACTTTGGTAAATTCTTTGAGCAGCGTATGGTTCTAACGAACCTAGAAACGCAACAACGGCGATTCATAGATTCAAACACACAATCACTGGCTTCTGACACGTCCAAGGGACGCTATCAACCAAGGCAGCGAACCAACTAATCTGTCTCACTGTCCCTGAACCACATTATTTTCCCAACTGCTTAGCCCTCCCTGCAATGGAGAGCAAATCTAGATTACATTGGGTTCACGTTCCCATCTCCTTGGTGCTCCTTTTCTATTTAAATGGGTATATTTGTTACTATCAAAATTATATATACTACCCATCAAAAGTTTAGACTCACTAGTGTAAATGTAGCCACTTACTTCAGTCAACTGTTCTAAACTAGATTTTGCAAAATATTCCATACTGTTTAAAAGTACTGTTTACACATGAACTGATGTATTGTCAGACAAATTTGTAACGTTGAAAAGATTATTGTCATGAGTTCAATAAATGATGAAACTCGGTGAAAATTGGCAAATTCTTAACAAATCTTTACACCAAAACGCAGCTGTTCACATGCACGATATTTGCACATGCTTTTCAGCTATTTGATGCATGATCCTCATGCAATTCAACTGCTTAAGGTTTGCAGTTGGTTCCCCTAAGTTAGGGTAGAAATTTATCTTCGATGTAACCACATATATATACTATTCACACTTTGCTACGGTTCAAATCATTGATTCAACAGTAAACTATGATGTGGGGTCAAATTTGGTTTAAATATCTAAGCCTATTGTAAGCATAGATCCTAGGTTTCAGTATGTCATTGCATCTTGTGGATCCCATACCTGCTATTGACAGGTGTTGTGTACTTGTCAATGACCCGTGCCATGATTTGCAAAATGGTTGATTGGTGCCATGAAAACCATTTTTAAGGTTTCTCATGTATCAAGAGCATACGGTTAGCTTAAAGTGGCTGTTTTCCTAAAGATGTGTTACCATATCATTATTTATCCAGTTTTAAATGGATACAATGTCAAATTAGAAGTCTACGTTTAAGTAAATTTTGCGAATTTTTGTGATCCTTAGCAAAGTGTGAGTAGTATATATATATATATATATACATAACATACAGTGGGTGCTTTAAGTAAGTCTAAAAGTTTGATGGGTAGTATATAGTCAGAGACTAATCGTTGTCTACGAATTATCCGAACCAATTTGGCTGCCTCTTACGACAAACCTGGGTTGCTGAAGACCAACCGTTGCCCGGATGTTCGCGGGTGTCCACTGCAGATTAAACCCATATGATAACATGACAGCGGGGATTCAAGAAGCCCGGTGTGAGAAACATCCAAGGTCAGTCCCTGATGAAATAATTACTTCCAGCTGATTGACACTCTCTGTAACATGGCATGAAATAGCCCTACTACATCCCATAGAATAATCTAGTCTGTAGAGGCAGCACACCATCGCTTCCACGTGCAACTCAAGTGTGATAGGATGATATCGACCCGGCCGTCAGGGGGCATACAGCTGCACCATAACATGATGTTCTAAAAGTCTGTGAGTAGTTCTTGCATAACCAGAAGGGAAGAGCAACAGTGCAGAGTGAAACAGGCACACAGCAGACGCAGGGAATTAATTAATGGACGCAGGGAGGGGTGTGTGTGTGCGTGTGTGTGTGTGTGCGTGCGTGTGTGCGTGCGTGCGTGTGCGTGTGTGTGTGTGTGTGTGTGAAAATAAATACCCTCCCCATAGCCTTGTAAAATTTTCTTGACCCTCTTAGTTAAGACAAAATGCAAAACAACTTAAAATATTATCGTATTTCGAAATGTCGAAAACGCATTTTATATTGCGTAATGGTAAGTTCATATTACATAACTTTCCCCAAATGTGTATATTATTGTTTGTGACACTCTCGCAGGTTGTTATGATGTGTGATGCCCCACCCCACCACCCTGAATCCTTCTGATGAACCCACCCATTTAGTGAGCGACCACATGGAATACAGGAATACAGGTATATTTTGTGAAAATAAACTAGATTCAGATCATCGTACACAGTCGATAAGAATAGACGATGATACTCGCTGTTATTTTAAACGAGTGTGTATTGTTTATTCTAAGATGCTTCGCTTAAGGATCAAAGGCGTCAACAGTACTTTATCAGTACACTTTTTACATTACGTCACACTCCATTGACGTCACTACACCATTCTAGTGTGCCAGACATATTGAGTCAGGAGCAATGTGACAGAGTGAGTGAGTAAATTAGGTTTACCGCCGCTTTAAACGATCTTCTAATTGCATCAGGGAGTAATGTGGGAAGAAAAACCAAAGTGATGAAGGCTTCAGAGTGAGTGAGTGAGTTCAAATTTAAAGTCAGTTTGGCAATATTTCAGCCATATCGTGACTAAAACAACATATATATTAACAATAATTAAAGAGAGAGTATAAAATCCTGTCAACGAAAGACAGTAAAACAACTAGAATATCACAGATATAAATGTAAAACTAGTAATTAAATCTAAAACATTTTAACTATAGAAGACAACACAATATAAAAATAGGCTATAGATCACCAGCAACTGAAGGTAGTTCACTCAGGCTTCAGAGGTTTTCCACTTTGGTGAAACCTGCGATCACGGCCAAGGTGCAAGCAAACCTACAAACATAATTTCGATCGAACCAACGGTGCTAGGTTTCCCGCTTGCCAAATGCGACGCCTAAAAACCCGGGTTACCTGTTCCTTCAACTAAACCCCATACCTTCAGCCTGTCTCAAGCCTCCCAGTGAGTCTGCACTCTCCAGTATGATTGGCGATGCAGGGGCAAATAATATGTGGCGTGGGGATCGATCTGCATAAACTGGGTCACCAAATATGGGAACCGAACCCGGGTCTTCGGGGAGAAGAGCGAACACTTTAACCACTGAGCTACATGTCTGACTGACTGAGTTTGGTTTTACGCCGCTTTTAGCAATATTCCAGCAACATCACGACGGGGGACACCAAAAATGGGCTTCACGCATTGTACCCATGTGGGGATTCGAACCCGGGTCTTCGGCGTGACAAGCCAACGCTTTAACCACTAGGCTACCCCACCGCCTCCTGAGATACATGTACACGATCATATCTTTGTTATACTATGACTGACTCAAAAACATCTTAAGCTCATGTCTGGTGCTTCACGTTTTGATATAGCCGTATAGTGCTAAAACTAAAAGCGTCGTCTAAACATACTCTATCACTTTTTCTTTTCACGTAGCAATGAAAAGCGAAATGGGATCAAACATGAAAAAACGCAGATTTTCATAATTGTAAAAGAGCATATTGATCGCGTGATCCATTGGGAAACGGTTAAACAGCGATCAGTCGAGTGGCGTTAAAGTGGCATCGATCCAAAGACAATATGTTTATGTAACAGGACATAAAAGGGTTTAGTGCTCCCGTGTTGTAACACCGGTAAAACACGACAATGAGACGCTGGCTATACTCCATATTCAAGACGTGGTTAGTATGTCATACACGTACACATATGGATCATCTGACACGGTTTAATGGATCCACAGGGACAACACGTGACCGAGTCGTGTGAAGTGCCGCGTCTCGCAATACAGAGTTGCGTCCCTTGGGAAAACCACAACGCTATGATCTTCGTTACGAAACCTGGTTCGTTCCAGTGATGCTTTAGAATGTAGTCAGAACTACAGCCGTGGGTTTCACCAAGGAGATCAACGTTTGAAGTCTATATCATTCCGGGCGTTCCTTCATCATAAAGTTGACAAGCAGTGATGTGACTTTAGCACTGGTCAAAACGGCGTTAAACGCACCTCACTCACTCAGGTGGTCAAACTGTTTAATATCAACGAAAAATCGCCAGTTAGTGTTCGGATCCTAATTAAAATAAGACGTTCAGTCTACAATTGAGCTACCTCAGTGTACAAACCAGAAAATGGGTTTATCTCCTGATTCTCAGCCACGATCAGTGGATCCTTGTACGAGTAAGGGACGTAACTCTGTAAGCAAATTGCGTCTCACACCACGTGGAGAACGTAGTTAATACAGTGTTGTTGGTGATATACATAATGCACGAGGAGAAATGTAACCACCCTCGACGAATAATCAACGCGAGAAACCAACATTGATTTAAATCAGTTGAGCAATAACTAGGACACTGTTATACTCTGTATCGCCAAGTCGAATGTATCCCATGTATCGCATGTTGCAGAATCACTCAGCTGAGGTGAGGGGACCGTTCATAAGAAAAGGGGGGCTTTAACTATAATAGTTCAGGACGAAAGTGGGCTTTATTACACTATACATGTTGGTAGAGCGAACTGTATTTCTCAAGTATTGTATCTCAGTGGTCTTGTACTATAACACCAGACAGGCCGGCTCGGAGTCTGTACCTGAGTGGGGTATCCATATTA